GTAGGGATGGAAACGTTATGTATCTATGTTTATATATGAGATGTAAGGAAACCCTAAAGCTACTAAATAAATTAATGTTCCAGTTTTTAATGATCTAAGGTGCATTTCTGTCTTTATGAAGAGTAAGGTAAATGCTAGTGAAACTAGCATACTAGCTACCTTCAAAACCTGGTAATTATATGGCATGTAGCCATTCTGAAATTTTAGATGCCGCCTAGCATTCAGTGTCGGGGAGTTATCTCTAAGGAATCCAATACTGTTTCCATCAACAAAGTGTGACGGGGATCTTTAGGGCAACAAATGCTTTTGTTGGAACTGAACTTTAATTTCATATTCGTTATCTGTGGTGCATTTGAAGTCTCTCTGTTCACCTTACAGTTCTTAATCAAAATTCAAAGCCACAGCACATTAAGTTGTCCTGAAAACTGACTGACAGAATGGCCAAGAAAGTTATTAAAGTAAGGGTGCAGAAAGATGTTGGGTTACTATGACAGACGAGTAACTGCTTGTGTCTCTTAACCTGTTAGCACCTTGTGCTTTGGCACTGATGGCTGGACTCTGATGCTGTCAGTTACGTGAAGCATCTGACGAATGGTACCCTCTTAAACGGTAACCACTCAAATGCGTGTTACTGCGAGGTATTTAGACAAGGGCAGAGAAGTCAACTTGAACGGAGTAACTGACTGGGAGACAGGAGAACAAAGGTCACGGGAACGTGCTTGTCAGGAGTGCCAGGGGTGTAATCCGAAAAAGCCTGTAAAGCTTTCACTGGTGTTCAGAAGTACTAGGACAGTGCTGGAGGGTGACCATACAAAATTGTATTTTTGTCTTTGGTGCTTTTTTATGATTTTGTGAGTAAGTTTTAGGCATCATTTTGCTATAACAGGAAGAATCTTTATTTTAGAAGATCTCAAGTGTGTTTGGGTAAGTTTAAATTCTTTTTTTTTTTGCTGAACTGTTTTAATTGTTTTACTAACTTGTTTTAAACAGTGATCTTAAGTTCATTTTCATCGTTTCATTGTTTGTCATCCAGAGTAAGTAAGTGCTTTTCTGTTCTGACTTTTTTTTATAGTCTTGGCTACTTGTTGTACAGCAAACAGAACAGCTGAGCAAAATAATGAAGACGCATGCAGAGGATCTTAATTCTGGGCCTTTGCATAGGCTTACAATGATGATCAAAGATAAGCAGCAAGTTAAGAAGAGTTATGTAGGTGTTCATCAACAAATTGAAGCAGAGATGTACAAGGTATTTTATTCCACTGTGCTTTATAAATTTATTATGGTTTTGTATATTGAAAGAGTTTAAGCTCTTTTGGGTGGGGGCAGGATTCTAGTGCCGGTTCTAAAATATGAATAAATTGTAAACCAAACATTAAGGCTATAGATAGAGCTCTTCAGGGCCTTTTCTATTACATGTCAGTTGTTAGGCTTATGTTGAAAGCACTTTATCTAGTCAGTGAAGCTGACAGAAATCACAGTTTCATTCAGGTGCTCTGGGGGAAGTTTAACTGCAAATGTCAAAAATCAGATTGATAGTCTGAAAGGTCTACTGAGAGAAGGAAAAGCACTGTTTCTTCTTTCTTCCAGCAGAAAATTTGAGCTTCACAGTAGTGCAATTAAAATATAACATCTGAGCAGTACTGTACAAATGTCATGGACTGATGAGTAAAAGATTCTTGGGCCGGTCATGTGAAGAACTTTAAACTAGTACTAAACGTGTTAAGTATGTTGGCACTTAATAGGACTGCTTCCATTATATGCTGGGATCTTGGCATGTTCCCTAGGTGTTGACTATGGGGAGTACATCTGTTTTGATGCGTGGTCAGTAGGCTGTCTTACCTGATAAAATTTCTAAGCCAAATAATCACTCATAGCCACTCATGGATTGGTGCATCTGAGAATAGTCAGGATTGAAGAAGAGGAAAAACTGTTAGCATACATTAGAAACAATAGATGTTAAATATTTAGAGAATTGAAAAAAGAAACAAAGAAATGTAAGAGAGAGAGAGCGACTAGATGAAACAAGACTGCTGGAAGTTCAGTTATACTTTTAAAACAGACAGTGCAAAACCTGTTTCTTTCTATTAATAATTTAACTGTAATAAAATCTCTAATAAAACTGTCTTTTAAAATAAGGCTTTTCCACCAAAATATAGTAGACATTGAGCACTCCCCAAATGATTAATTACCAACTATATTGATTTTAATTAATTATGGGCTTCATGACCATGCTGCGAATATTTTGCATCCTGATGAATAAGCTTGCATTGTTGTTTGTTTTTTTTCCCCTTCCTGATTTTTCCTAAGAAGCCTTTGAATAGCGTTCTGGTTAAATATGATATGCTCTTTCATTGTTAGCTGACATTGTTTGTTCAAAGGTTTTGTGTCACTGGGGCACTTACAGAATGGTTCCCAGAAATTCAAAATGCTTCTCATGTTCTGTGGTATTATTTCTGCTTCTGTTGCACAAAGAGAAGCAAAATACTTTCCCAGGACATTACCCGAATCTGGTCAAGATCAGTGTCCATGCAGTTTGTAATCTTTAGGATACACTGTCAAAAAAAATGTGTTTTCCTGTAGGTCATATGCATGTGTATCATCCTTTCTTATTCTAGACACCTCTACGATGAGGAATCTTTTTAGGAAAATTCTTATGGGCAGTGATATAGCATGTCTTTTACACAAATACAGTAAAACTCGTATCTTGTAGATTTATTCCAATTCCCGTAAAGATACTGGATATTTTTTCTCTCTTTGTGAAATTTGAGGGGAAAAAGTAGAGTACTATGCTAGTTAGAGGGGCAAGACTTTTTGACATAAAAGCTGGGTTTAAGATAATCCTTGACCATCTTAGCTCCTTTATCTGGGGATAAAGGTGCTCTCGGTTTTGTTTTTGCCTGTTGAAAGAACACAGTCTAAGAATCAGCAAAATATATTTCACAATTATTACAAAGGTTTCTTGATACTAGTGACCTACCTTTTATTTTCCAGTTTTCTGTAAGAGAAGCAGTTCTTTGTTATTTATGTCTTAACTGTGTTTGCTGCTTCCTAATTTCATCTTTTTCTCCATTTTTTGAGGCGTCTTTGTAATACAAGTTTGTCATAAAGTTATTTTATCCTGTGCCACCTCTGTTAGTCTATAATAACAACAGTTCTGAGTGTAATTTACAGTGTGTAGAAATATGAGATGAGAATATGGGATTGATGTGGAGAAAAATTCCTGCCTTTAAATTAAATCTTTGCACAATTGCTCCAGAAATAGAAACTGTAGATAGCACCTTGCTGGCTCTTTGCGGAATACTGTTAAGTTTCCAGATGTTGTTCTTGAGGGTGAAAGTCGTGCTATCTGAGCCTTGCCTGATGAAAAAAGGAGGATTATGAACTCCAGACTTCTTCGTGCCAGCTGCAAGAGAAGCTTTTTCTGTAGAAAGATCTTTCTTTTCTGCACATTTCGTGAGGGGAGCTCCTCATTACACTAAATTCTTCTTCCATGATTTCCCATTGTAAGTGTATTTTTCTTTTTGTCAGAGTTTTTACTTTACTATATATGCCACCTTTTGGGGATTGTAGTGGCTGGTTTGTTATTAGCTTTTGTTTGTAAGTTCATGAGTTGTGATTATTTCTGAACAGTGCACTAGTTTTGTTACACAGTGAATGAAAGTTTGGGATAGAAGAGACAACTTTATTTTAATTTTTTGACTGAAAATGTCATGTTCAGTGGAGTTTTTCCCACTGCAAAAAGATTCTTCAGTGCGGTGTTCCACTGTAATTTGCTTTTTGGTGTTTTTTCTTTTTTTGTTTGGATTGTTTTGGTTTATTTTAATTTTTAGGGATTCGAGTCTTACAACACATAGGTTTGTTCACGCACAGTTGCTGTTTCTAAGTCATTTGTATGAACAGAAATATCTAAAAATTTTTCTATCTTGCCTTCTTTTTTGGATGCTAAAGGAATTCCTTCTTATATGTAGAACTCTTTCATCTAGTAAGATTAGATAAACATATTTTTGATGCTTTTTTCCTTGTCATTGAAATGGAATATTGTTTATGATAAGCTCGATTTCTTAAACATATTTTTCATTACACTGATGTGGATGGGGATATCTGTTTCAGCCCTCTTACTTTCCATGCATTTCTTGATTTTAATTTTGTTACGCCATGCGATATCCTATTAAGATTAACTCAAGCCAATGGAAAGTGGTAACATCCCTATTTTGGGAAATAAACCCTGTTAATTCTCTTTCAGTAATGCTATGAAGTTTTTGTTATATGTTGAAGATAAGTATTTTAATACTTTTTGTATTTCTTTTTTCTTAAAGGTCACAAAGACAGAACTAGAGAAACTAAAATCTAGCTATAGACAACTAATAAAAGAAGTAAATTCTGCCAAAGAAAAGTATAAAGAAGCTGTGGCTAAAGGTATGACTGACTTTTGTTAATTTCATCTTAGTGCCTTTTTCAGAGAAGTGCTAAAACAGTGGAACAGGGTAATGTTTTTATTTTGAGCAACTCGATTACGATATAAAAGCTCATTTAGTATCTTCAGTAAGACAGACTAATTGTCATCACGTGTACTTGGTGGGTCTGTTTTTAAAAATAAAAAAATAAACGATAGCCCTGCTTTTAATATAACTGGTAATCGTTTTTAGTTCTTCTGTTATTCCTTCAGTGAATGTATTTGGAATGTAAAATTGCTGAAATGAGCTGTTAATAGTGTTAATAGTGGTTAATAGTGGAGTTAGGTTGCAACTCCTATTCATGTTGTAGCTGCAGCTTATTTGCATCCTGTGACCTGTTACGGTTGCTGCAGCGGCATCAACATTAGTTCTTAACAGTTTGTACACTGGATCTGAGCTTTGTCAACCGTAAGGAGAAGAGGAAAAGAATTAATTTGCACACTGAAATATTTTAAAGGTTTTTGGGGAATGATGCGTCCAAACTACATGGATTTTGATTCCTGTTAATTGTGCTGGTGATTAGATAAATGAGAGCATTTGTTCTATGATGTATTAATAATTATTATCTAATTATTATATCTGATATAGCAATTATATTATCTAGTAATTATTCTTATGTGCCTTTCTAAGATTTTTTTCTTAAAAAATTGGATGGCAAGAAAATTAATCGGTTGGCAGTATATAAATATAATTCCAAGATCCATCTTCAAGTTTTTGTATGACTGCCTAAAATGACAGTTATTGTCCTTGGTTCTGTTGTAGTATAATTCACAGTGCAATATAGTAGCTATCAGTGTTGAGAGAAAGAATGTTTCTTTCTAAATTTGTCTAAAATTTGGAGCGGTAGCTGACATGGAAATATAATGACAAAAAAACATGGGATAAGAGAAGTTATACTTAGAACTGTTTAGCTTCAGCTTTTTTTTTCTTTCACTGATGTTATATTCACTTAAAAATGTAAATATGTATTAAGTTGTTTGTTTCACCTGATTCCCTACCTATTTTCTGCATATAACTTTTATTTTGTTACTTGGTTTATCTCCAAGTAACTACTTAACATTGGGAACATACAGTATGTAACATGGAAAATATAATAGGGTGCTGTGATCTTAGTATGTTCCTTTGATCTCATCTTCCTGTTATAGCTCTGATCGTTCTCCATTCCTGAAGCACCAGACTTTCCCACTGAAATCAAAGAATGTTTTGGCTGTCAGCAGCTGTGATGTTTTGATGTGGTTCTGGTTTAATGAATTCATGTTTCCTTAGATAGACAGCAAATACAAGCTGTTTTTAAGACACTTACTTCTCCTGTGGTTTTCCTTGACCGACTCTTTTAGGCTTCAATTTAGTATTTGTCTTATTACAATCCATATTTAATTTCACTTTCCTTAACATCTTAGTGTAATTCTATTTTAACAAACACTGACTTCCAGAAAAGTGTTGCTAGTTTTTCTTTCAAAAATTGCAGAATTGCTTCTTCCCTTTTGTACCCCAGGCTATGTTCTTGTTTACAAATATTTGTATAGTTGGTAAACTGCTACAGTTGTATGTCAACTGCAGGTCAACTGAGCTGTTTGAATTTTCTTAAACCATGGTATGTTCTGATGGTTTCTGAGCCCCTAAGTTGTTAAATTGGTTTGCGAAATGAACAAGTTAGGAAAATCTTAAAATAGTAATGCTTCGTTATTCCAGGCATTATCTCAGTGACTAGTGCTTATTCAAATTATGTGCTATTAGGAAATATGACTTTTGTTAATATACAAACTGGTTCAGCTTTTCAGGATTTCAGGAACTATGGAAAACAAGGGAAGGAACAGTGCTTACCAGAACAGTGGGAGGACATAACCAAGTATCGGAAATAAAATGAAAAAGATTTTGTAAAACAAAAAAATGAAAATCTTCAGACACCAGCTTTTGCAAGAAGTATGTTAAAAGTACTAGTCCAGGTTGAGTTTTGTAAAATGCCATTCTCAACAGATTCTGTTTCTCTGGCAAACCAAGTCTCCATCACAGTGCCTGGTCCTGCCGATCTGAAGCTGAAGGGGAGAACTACTCCTTTGTCTTGGACCTTGGGTATGCTGAATTAGCTGTAAATTTGTGCAGTATGTGTGCAAGCTGGTCAACATGAAAAGAGTGCAAGCCACACAAAGGCTAGATTTAAAAATTTCTCTGTTCGGCAAGTATAGTGATTTTAAAATTTAGTGACTTTTTTTTTGTTTTAGAATAACAAAGCCATCTGTCAGAGAGTAAGTTTACTGGAGCTGCTAGTGAAAGAATCATAGAATGGTTTGGTTTGGAAGGGACTTTAAAGATCATCTAGTTGCAACTTCCCTACCATGGGCAGGGACAGCTTCCACTAGATCAGGTTGCTCAAAGCCTCATCCAGCCTGGCCTTGAACACTTCCAGGGATGGGGCCTCCACAGCTTCTCTGGGCAACCTGTTCCAGTGCCTCACCACCCTCTGAGTGAAAAATTTCTTCCTTATATCTAATCTAAATCTCCCCTCTTTAAGTTAAAAGCCGTTGTCCCTTGTCCTATCATGACATGCCCCTGCAAAAAGTCCCTCTCCAGCTTCCTTGTAGGCCCCTTTAGGTACTGGAAGACTGCTGAAAGGTCCCCCCAGAGCCTTCTCTTCTTGAGGCTGAACAGCCCCAACTCTCTCAGCCTGTCTTCATAGTAGAGGTGCTCCAGCCCTCGCATCATCTTTGTGGCCCTCCACTGGACCTACTCCAACAGGTCGCTGTCCTTCTTCCATTGGAGACTCCAGAGCTGAATGCAGTATTCCAGGTGGGGGTCTCACAAGAGCAGAGTAGAGGGGCAGAATCGCCTCCATTGACCTGCTGGCCACGCTTCTTTTGATGCAGCCCAGGACACGATTGGCTTTCTGGGCTGCAAGTGCGTATTGCTGGCTCATGTTGAGCTTTTCATCAGGCATCATCCCCAAGTCCTTCTCCTCAGGGCTGCTCTCAATCCATTTTCCACCAGCCTGTGTTTGTGCCTGGCATTGCCCTGACCCACGTGCAGGACCTTGCACTTGGCCTTGTTGAACTTCATGAGGTTTGCACAGACTCACCTCTCCAGCCTGTCAAGGCTTCCCTTCCCTCCAGTGTGTTGACCACACGACAGAGCTTGGTATTGTCAGCAAACTTGCTTAGGGTGCACCCAATCCCACTGTCCATGTCGCTGGGGTACAAGAGGTGTAAGTGGTTTAAGTAGTTCTCTAGATTTTGGGAGGAGAATTGTTTACCTGCTTTCTGGTTGAGATGTTAAAAGTTGTATTAAATTCTGGGCTAAACACACATAGTAGAGGATATTAAGTGAAAAGAGTAAAGCCTGGAAAAGTTATAAACAGTGGAAAGTAATCTTCTGTAGTAGTAGTTGGTTTTGGTTTTCTGCAGTCACAAAGTATTCTCGGGTAAACTTGAATTAGTTTACAGAATTGCCTTACAGAAGGCATTGTGCTCTCCAGATCTAGAGAAAGATGAAAGTGTCTAACATGTTGGCTCAGGAGCTGTTCTGGGGTACCCTCTGGTAAGCACTGTTGCTGCTTAGGCATCAGGGAAGCAGTGGGACGGTTGCATAGCAGAGAGTGCACCACTTGAGTCTTGACTGCCACTCAGTCCTCAGGCTGGATTTCACTGCCCTGTTGTGGCCACCAGTGTCTGCATGCTTACCCTGTTTAGTTACACTTTGCTGCTCATTTCTGGACCAGTGATTAACACAGCATTCACAAATGCAGCCTGGTTGGTTGTTCTTGGGCATGAAGACCCCAGGTGTAAGGCAGTCTGATGGGTGTTACTTAGTTGATAGTTTTTTGCTTTTATTTCAGTCCTTAATTCTTATGTTTTTTTGAATGTATGGTGAGAGAAAGCAAGCTGGAAGGGGGTAAAGTCAGCAAGCTAAACTAGTCCAGTGCCTCTCTTAATGAGGCATACTTTAGCAACTGGGACTATGGACAGATTGATTCCAATAGTCTTTTCTGGGTTGGAAAGCATTGTGAAAAAGCCCAAGTATGTACTGGAAATGCACAGCATGTTACTTTGCAGAATTGGAGCATTAGAACATTCTGGGGTCATAGGGCATGCTGTGGTCATTGGAGCAAAATATAAAACAAAAACTATGTTTTTCCATAGTGAAATGGACAGCTCTCTGAAATCTTTTGGATGTGTGATGCTGAGAAAAAATGGTGTGAACTTCTTATGGCGGTGATCCAAAATAACACTCACAGATGATGTACAACTCTGAGCCTACAGCCTCTGTGCTGTCATCAGTGATGCTCAGTAACAACGTAGATAGAGTATGGCATGTTGATGTTGCTGCTGCAGGAAAACACATCAATACAAAATTCATGCCAAATGATAGTGTTTCGTTAAAGAAATCAGAAAGCTTCTAAAAAAGTTTCATAAATAATGGGTAAAGAACACAAAATGGAAGCTGTAGAACAGTTGCAGTATCAAGTATGATATCTCATTACAGTTTGAATCTCAATTGATTGGATCAGTAACTGCTTCCTGTAAGTTTGCTATTTTCACAATTATTTTTGTTTCTGCAGAATTGTGCGTCTTTATTAAGTGTAGTTCAAGAGTGTGTCTGTAGGGGTTTCTAATGATTTCATCCTTGATTTATTTGTTTAAATGCGACTTATTGCTATATATAAAAAAAAAGCTTAAATAAGGAAATGATGAGTACATGAAATCCCAAACAATAATTTGCTCTTTTCCTTACATTTTGAAAAGAAATTTGGAAAGTATTAATTCTTAACAACTTAGCATCAGTTTTTATAGCTGATTTTGGTGTGAACGTGAAATACTTGCTCTTGTATCAGTTAATATTGTAAGTTGGAATAGAGCCAGTCTAGCTTTAGGAGCACATTTATGCTATAGCAGCATAAAAAAAAAATTGTACCAGATTTCGCTAGGTTGGCTTGTGTTCCCTGACAATGTTGTGATTTAGAGAAGACTA